ATCTAGCAAAGATCAGAGAAGTTTTCCTCCTTTCAAGGGGCTCTGCTGGTTACAGCTGAAGATGGAAGGTAAGGAGCATAACTCAAATGTCCCGATGGGCCAGGCAGCCGGGGTCTGGTCTAGTCGATGTATATATCACTGTGCTATTCCCAAGTGCTAAAGCTGTATTTCATTAAGATAAAGACAGAAGACACACCCTCCTGCCTTCAACTAGCACATTTAGGTGCCAAATCCAAGAATGGATTGTTCATTTCTTTAGAGACTTCAAAGAGAACTTCCTGGACATGTTCCTTTAAAACGTAGCCTTTGCTGAGAATACATAATATGCTGGAATGAACGGAAGAGACTTCCTGGCAAAGGACCTTCAGCGTCACAGTTGAGGCTGCAAATCACAAACTCATTTCCTTCCCCAACTGGAGAGCTAGAATTTTTCCAGCCCGATTCAGAGGAAATGCAAGGATTCCCTGGTTTTCTTCCTCCCTTCTAGGGCTCCAGCCATTCTCCAGTCTAGCTCTCTTCCTTGTGTCCAAGCGACCACCCATAAGCACAGCTGTGTAGCACCTTTCACATCTGTATTCCTCTCATTACGCTTCCCAGACACATAACACCCAGAAACAGGGAGTGAGTCTCAGGGAGGTAGGCAACCAGCTAAGAACAGATTATAATTGTGGACTATTTGGACTCAGAGCAAAAGTTCATACATGTGTTTCCCTTCTATTTGTTCACTTGTGAGACTCGGATGTGCATGGGTATAACTGTTAAAACTCAACTAGTCTAAGGCAACTCAACTTCATTAGCTTTATCTATCACAAAGGCACTCTAAATTAAAGGCTACTTTCCAATCCAGTTGCAGAGTCTCATTGCTTTACACAGGAAAGGCTTTTGCTTTGAGGCAACAACAACAAAAAAACCCAACCAGGGTAGTATGTTATCTGGGTTTGATTCCTGTTGGTGTTGCTTTGGACACTTGTAAAGTGGAAGAGGCTTTCAGAGCAGCGTGAGCTGCCACCAAGAACAGAGGGCACAATAACTAGCACCCAACAAACGAACAATAACAGATAACGCTGCTGCTACTATTGGTTGAATCATATTTTGCTATTTAACACTGTTTATAGGGAGTGCATACTTATTTTCTTTCTTATTGCTGATCATGAGCCTTCTCATTCTTGTTTATCTCTCACATGCATTAAATTGGCATGGGCAAAGCTTAAATCAAGAAAGTCTTTGTTGTAAGAACTGCACTTTTTATAGCATTCGGAGACTTGTCCGCAAAATGGGGTCAACGGCAGCTGGCACTTCCGAGCGGTCATTAAGGTTGCTCCAAACAATCCATTTACATTTTTGCTGAGTCTATGTAAGAGGAAACAAGCTGGTTCTACTGACTATAGAGCAGATTCAAGCTGTAGTTTGAAAATCTGTCACTGTATGTAACGGGACACTTATTGACCCATCCACCCACAGCTCTCTGAGTCACACAAGCCCCATTTGTATAAAATAAATGACTTTAAAAGGATTGGGGTCCTTAATAGGATAATTATTCTAAAGAAAAAAACTGCAATATATAAGAAACCTACAATGCAATGCATGTTCCCAGTTTTACAAGAAGGAATAGTCAAAAATTTGTCTTATAAGAAGAAGGATAGTATCTTTGATGTTTCGCCCATATTTTTGAAATTCTATGAAAAATAAAAAGGGGAGAAAATGACAAGGAATACGTAGAAGCTAAGGAAAACCCTTAAAATATTTAGTCAGGAATTATTTTTTAATTGTTATAATTTCAAAAATGTATTTTTCTAGAGGGCAAGTGGTAGAGATAGTACAGCAAGACCCTAGGTTTGAAATTTCCTATCACAAAAACACCCAAACCATGTCTGTCTAGCTAGGATGAGAACAGTGTGTACACTGTGTTGTGAGACTGGATGGATGGCCGCCACTGATACGGGCAGAATGAGAAGCACCGACCAGAAGGAAAAGGACTCTGCCAGTTAAGAAAGTCAATGCCAATGCTATTACTTCCTATAAGGACCCAGACTGCATGAAGCTGCTACTTCTTCTCGTCTTTAATCCAGAGAAGTGAGGACAGCTCTAGTTCTGGGATGGTCGGACAAGGCATCTGGAACAGACAGCAACCCAGGCAGGTTCTGAGTAAGGACAAGAATATAAACTAATATAGGCTGGGAGATGCTCAGGGGGAAAGTGTTTGCAATGCAAATATGAGTCTCCCGAGTTCTATCTGGGTGTGGTGGTAGACCCTTAATCACAGAACAGTGGAGGGAGAGACAAGTGGATCTCTGGGTTCCTTCGCCAACAGCCTAACCTAACTGATAAGTTTCAGGCCATAAAAGACCCCATTCAGAAAGCAAGGTAGACAACTCCTAAATAATAAAACTCAAATCCATATGCACCCACACATACAAACACAAGCACCCACCCACGACCACAGAAAGGCATGCATGCGTGCACAAACATGCACACAACACCAACCCTACTCTATCTCTTTCCTGGACGAGCATCCATTCACACAGGCAGAACTGGAGGAAAGGGAACTGGGTTGCCTTTGCCTTTTGATACTAACCCCCAAATCACATGGAACTGTGTCCCAACACACAAAATGCTTGCTGGACAAGCCTTTCCAGATTGCACCTTAGAAAGCAGCGGTGTCTATTGTTCAGAAACGGAGTCCACACACAGGCAGGATTTCTTTTGAAAGCAGTTTACTTTCCATACTATGGGTTTTCCTAACATCACCCTGCTTGCTGGAATGAAACAGGGAATGGGGTGCATTCCCCAGGCCTGAGTCTCTCTTACCCATGTGAACTCTTCCATAGTTTTTCACTATAAAACAAATCTATTTTGAACTTTTAAAATCAACGCATTAGTGCTGCCTTGAAATGAGTCCTGTGTTCCTCCCTTCCTCCATGGTCTATTCTAAGTAGGCCTAGAAGCCCACACTTGGTTTATATGTTCAAATGATAGAGCATATTTCCACAAGACTAAAAGGGGACTTACTAATTAGTTCAGTAACAATGACCTACCAAGAACGAGAGGGATGTAGGAAATGGCACACAAACATAGCCTTTCTTCCTCCCAAACCAGTACCAAACACTGGGAAGCCAATGCTGAGAGAGAGAGAAATGGAGTCAGATTCCTAACTTACTCCTCCCTTCACAGCACTGTAATGAACACTGAAACGTGAACCGGGAGATTCATTTCAGTTCCGTGAATTCCTGGGCAATCAAAGTGTAAGAAAGTCTCCCATTCCAGAAGTGCTCACACGTGCTTAAGGACAACAACCACCCTATCCAGGACAGCATGAAGGGCACCAGTCCCGAGGGTTTCAATGGTGTCATTCAAATCAATCACATACGGAGAAATTTTCAGAAAAATGTGCCAAAGAGAAAAATCTAGTATTTCCTTTTGTGTACTATTTTTTTAAGGTTTATTTATTTATTTATACAACTTTCTGCCTCCATGTATACCCACATGCCAGAGGAGGGCGCCAGATCTCATTACAGATGGTTTGGAGCCACCATGTGGTTGCTGGGAATTGAACTCAGGACCTCTGGAAGAGCACACAGTGCTGTTAACCACTGAGCCATCTCTTCAGCCCCTGTACTATTTTTTTTTTAAACAAAGCTCAGCATGATTCTTTACCGTTAGTTTGAATTCCATCTGCTTTTTTCCTAATGTTTCCATAAGTAGAACTAAATAACCAATATTGCAAGCATGCCAGCAGGAATTATCATTTGAATATGTAACAAGGGGTCCGAGGAAGCCTGTGAGCTCTCCTAGAATTTCATTTCCTGTTTGATATGCTTAGATTGCTGCTATCAAGCCTCTTAAATGCTGCTGTTTATGCAAGACACTAACTCAGGCAATAATAATATTTTTCTTATTCATTTTGTTTGTTTCATGTGCTGGGGATGAACCCTAGAAATCCACCCACACTAAGCACTCCCCCTATCCCTACGGTGGAGCTATACTCCTAGTAAGTAACATATTTTGTAGCAAATTACAGTGTATGCTCTGCTAACCCGAAGGGAAAAGCTTTACTACCAAATGCTGTCTATGAAAACAGATTGACAGGAACAAGGTACATTATAAGAAGTGTCAACTGCCATTGGGTTTCTGTTCCTGCTGCTAAGTAAGAAAGATATTGTCTCTTAACACACTCTGTAGACTGGGAGAGGGACATGGATGTGTATTTATTAAAGAGCTTATCAAAAAGTTGCTTTATATTAAAACCTAAATTAAGGAGAAGAATAGCCCTAAGTTTAATTGCCAATATTTAATAACATCTCACTATTTTATGTCAAAAATTAATTCAATGCTTTCAATTAATAAATATCAGAAGCTAGTTTTACTAATCCTTGCTAATTTTTTAAGCTCCCTTGGCGTCGCACACAGCCCCAATCAATCTAGCAGTGGAAGAAGCTCCCGAGCACAGAGCACATTTCACATTAACCAGGCGAAACTCATTCGGGATCTTGCCTAGGGACGTGCCTTCAAACGTTTTCATAATTACTCACTTGCTATCAAATTTGAATTAAGGGCATCTATATATAGTTTGCTCACTCTGTCACAGCAGACTGTCATATGAAATTGAGGAACTTTGGACCAAAATTCCAAACAGCTGGTTATGGCGCCCGTGGCAGTTGCTGAAGGTGTCAAGACAAGCTGAAAAAGGAACCCACGAACACCTACCCCAAGCTAGGCCTCAGATGCTATGCAATTATTTTTCAATATTCAAAGGCACCAGATTATCCAAAAACCAACACACACATGGCTTCATAGTATTCTCTCGTGTCTATTTGGTAGGGAGGAGATCTCTAGTTAATCTGAAACACAGTAGGAAACCATCTCTACTCAAAACACAAGGCCTCATTCTGCACAAACTCAGTTCACCACACCTCCAAGGCTGAGGCCACCCGTGAACATGCTCATTGAGAGAAGTTATTACCTTGGGCTAAAGACTAGCAAGCAGAAGTATGTATACTTACAGGAAGAAGTATTTGCGCCTTCTGTAGATACTGATATTCTAATGGGAGACTCTATAAGACATAAAAATGGAGTAAAGCTTTATTGAGTCATGCCACTGGAAAGTTAGAAAGTTGCCAGGCTCTGGAATTGCCTTGAAAAGCTGTGCTAAAAAGCAGTGCAGGAGCCAAACAGTGGTACCCTTAAAACAGGAAAATGCTCATACAACACAAGGATTACAGAGAGACTGCCCTGCTCTGAAGACTTCTCAAAGAGACTGGAAAGGAGAGAGCAAACCTGGAAAGGCACCCACAGACCAACTGTGAAATGAGCTTTGGGAAATATTCTTAGCAAGCCCACAGTACAGGTGAAATAGATCATTCCTTAGGTATAGGCTTGAAGTTGAAGAGAATTCCACTGCAAGAGAAGGGTCGGTGTTCACACATTCAGTTCTCAAGAGTGAAAATATTTCCAGGCAATTTGGGTCAGCATAAACATCCTGACCAACAACAGTGCCAAACAAAGTCCATGCAAGTCCCATTGCAGCAGTCACACGAGGAGCCAGCAGAACATGCTGAGCAAGCAAAAACAAGTTAGGGAGGTACAAGATTTGCTTAGGTAGCAAGGATAGGGGCAGAATAAAACAACATTTTAGTATTGACAGAGCATTAGGAATGCAGGGAGAAAAAAAAGTGAGACTGAAAGATTTTTAACCCTAGGAAATCAGAAAAACAAACAAAAAACTCAGTCTTCAAGTTGAAAATCAAGAGCTAGAATATAATATTCAGGTCACATTTCAGGAAATGTGGAAGACAGTCCAACTATCCTAGAGAAGCACCACAGAACTTTAAAAGCCCAGTTCGCTAACCGTGTCTACTGGTCTTGATAAAGAAGTCCTTACATTGAATAAATAACTGGATGAAAGGTAAAGGGACTGACTTTATTCTTCGTTTCTCTGCCTCCCTGAACCTTCCAAGTCCCCACCCATGCTTCTCTCAGATTCTGAACAGTGGTGTTGAAGAAAAGAGGAAATTCTAAGGGGGAACATAGAAGAAGGCTGAGCAGGGTTCCCTAGACTGCTATGGCTTTAAAGAGGTATGGCCAAGGTGAGAAACGGCAACTATGCCAACCCATGAATAGAGCAGGGAGCTATGCAGACAGCTCCAGGAACCTACCCTTCTCCTTCCTGAGACGCGCAACTCAATGTATCTAGCACGTTAGCGGTCTTCTGTAAAATGAGGGGAAATAATGCTCGTCTCGTGATTTTGTCAAAACTGGCAAATGAGTTGCAATCTTGATAAATCAAAAGGAACCAGATAAAAGCAGGTTATCATTATAACCCAGGAAGAAGGAGAGAAAGAGAGAGACCATGGATTTGAAAGAGAGGAAGGATGGGTGTATCAGAGACTTTGGAGGGGAAAGGGAAGGGGGAAAAGATGTAATTTTATTATATCCAAAAAATAAATTACAAAAAGGAAATGAGTTTTCAGTCTCAACTCTCCACAAATTTGCTGCTAAATAAATACTAATTTATTAATTTCCTAGGGTTCTCTTAACCAGAAAATCATAGAAAATAAAGTACACTTCTCACCCCTCATCAATGAACTTTCTCACTGTAATTGATGGAGAACATTACAGAAAAGCACAATCAATCAAAATCCAGGGCTGAGACACTCATTCCCAACGGATGCATCTTCAAAACACACCCACATGTAAGACTTAGGGAATATTGCAGAAGAGGGGGTGGAAAGACTGTAAAAGCCAGGGGCTCGGAGAGCTATGGTGAGACTATGTAGCCCAGAAAGTTGAGAAACCACACCCATGAAGTCCCGCCAACATGACTGCCTAAACAGGAGCTGAACAAAGATAACAATAGATATACCAAAGTAGACCAGGGAAAGCCCACAAGACCTCAGTCCTACACAAAGAACCACAGGCAACTAAGGAATCTTAAGAGTAAAAAAAAAAAAAATAGTTTTCCCCAGGGAAAAGTATACCAATTGGTTATCCAATATCAAATTGTCAGCCTTGAAAAACATATATACAAGTAAGATTTTACACACTGAGCATGCAGGTTATACTTAGGAATATTTGAGAGGTCATGCATTTGAAAGAGAACAAGGATGGGTATATGAGAGGGTTTAGAGGGAGGGGTAAAAGAGAGAAATGATGTAAGTATTTATAATCTAAAAAAAACTGAAGAGTGGGCATGGTGGTGCACGGCTGTAATCTTTGTTCCAGGGAAGCAGCGAAAGGACCCCCAAGAGGGATGCTGGGCTGAGCCACATAGCAAATCTCTGTCTCAAAAACAATTAAAAACAAGGCAGATGAAGTCATTCTGTAACTAGCATACGAACCAGTGGATTCTGATTATATATGGATTTGTAGAGTTGGCAGATAAGTAACTTGTGTCTTCCCAGCCTGCAACTACCACCAGTAAATATTACAGGCAAAAATGAAAGGAAACAGAACATTACAATATCATTTGGGGAAAGTCAAGGTGGTTGTTGTTGTTTCAGATTTAGTGAACCAGAATCTGCCAACAGCATCCCAAAGGTCAGACATCAGATGCTGGGTTCACTGTCTAAGTACACAGTCTCCTTCCAATGGGTCGCCCAAGCAACCAAGAGAAGCAGGCTCAAAGATAGAAAATCTGATCCTGTACCCCTAAGGTTTCTCTTCTACTTGTCTAATATCACAAAGTAGCATGAAGATATGATCTCTTTCTCTCCTATTTGTGTCTTGAGCCACCATTCAGGGATACAGCAAAGACACCACCTGCCTCAAGTAAAATCCAAAAAGGCAGAAGGAAGCTGAGGAAAACCCTGGAGCAGAGCATGGGAAGAGCTGAAATTTGGACGCAAAGGGAGTGCTGATTAGTACTGACGAGCAGCCAGCAGTTAAGCCTTTCACACTGGTTAGTAAACTTGCCAGGCTCTGTTCCTTACCTGAGGACACATATGCTCTTTCGGTTGAGGCTGGCATGCCAGTGATGAACTCTGCAAAAAAGAAAAGGTGACAGGCGATTATAGGGTACAGCAGGAGCCTGGGATCTGGGGCCATGGCCTGCCTTCCAGATGCGAACGGGTGTGAGGAAGGCACACTGCGTGAAGACAGTTCAAATAACTAGTTCTTCTTTCGTGGGGGAAGAGCCTGAGATGAATTACGCTAAGTAATTATGAGGAACCGTTTGCTCCCCCTGGGGTGAATGAGGAAGAAAGCACCAGAGAGACGGATGGTGGGTTCCTTGGAAAGGAAAAAGAAATGGGGAATTAAGAGCGTCAAAGCCATTGTCACACCAAAGCGAGGTCATTTCTAATCTTGAGGAGTCTGGAAAATTACTATTTTGTTCAAAAATGAAAGCAAGCAGTGTTTTCTGTTGGGACTGGCAGACGACACCAAGTTCTGGCACGGAATTCTTCAAATCGCCAGAGTAAAGCAAGATGGGAACACTATCATCTGGTACATGTTGGCTACTCTGGACAGAGCCTGCCTGAGCAGGTACTTCCCTGAAGGAAAGAAGGACAAACTTGCACAGCAGGGAACATCATTATCCTGAGAATTATGAGACTTATTTAAGACTCTAACCTTGTTTTCTTACAGTTCTAAGGATGGAATAGAGGAGGGTTACACTGTCTATGCAGCTCTGCATTCAGTCCTAAGACTGGCTTTAGTTGGTTAGATTCTTTACAAAGGCAGTTTTATGATACTAGGATGATGCAAAGGTAAAATGATGGAATCATCCCACCTCGACTGTCTATAAGTTATCAAATGCTGTATACTCTCACTCTTCCTAACCAGGACAAAGATAAGCCAAGTTTCATATGATGTCAGCTACCATACAATACGAGAGAGAGTGGGGGGGGGGGGGCAGAGAAATATGTAAAGTTCAATAAAAACAATAAAAAAGTACTACATCTGCCTGAAACTCTTAGAAGGTCATATAGACTATCATTTTAAGTCTAAACTAATACTTGATTAATTATAGAGTGATGAGCTCATTACCAATGCAATCCTTTTAACCACAGACACCACCATGATGGGACTAGCCTAACAAGGAAGAAAAATCGATTGACGTGATAATTTCCCTTTAACTTCTGAATTTCTTGAGGGACCAAAGAATTTGAGGAACTAGACAGAATGAAAGTCACGTGAGATTCAGGAGGGATGATCAAGTATCAAAGACCAGAAATGTGTCTTTCAAGAAGCCCAGATGTTATCTTCTTAGTGCAAAGTAAGAGTGCCTTCTGAGGTCAATCATTTGCAAAGTGAGACTGTTTTCACGACGTTGGAATTTCCTCCACCAGTTCTTATGCTCATTAGCAATGGGACAAAGTAAAAGGGATTTGAGAATGAGGGTGTATGACTTCCTTGGAACTTTCTCATGCAGGGGGCAGCAGACAGGAATGTTCTCAGCTGAACCAGTGGGGACACTTGTTCCTGAAGCAAAGTCAAGTACAAAATAAAATAAAATTGCTCTTTTTTGGAAACATGGAAACTGAGGAAACATTTTTGAATCCCAGATTCACAATCGTTGTTCTTCCGCAGACACACCTGGAATGCTTCCAATGTAAGGCTTTCCAACCTTGTGCCCACGTTGACAGATCCCTCCTTATTCTGCCCTTCAGAATGCATCAATGACTTGACCACCACATTGCCTGACAAGGATTGGGCAAAGATCCAAGCCCAACCTGATGTCAAAATTTTCTCCACATTTATTTTTGGCAAACTGAGTGATTGTCTACTGTGACCTTCCAAGAAGATTAAAAAAAGAAAAAAAAAAAAAGACTTCAGCACGGAAGACAGGTTAACTGTAACTTCCTCTTGTGATTGAAGGCTGCATTAGAGACAAATGTTCATAGTAACAAATGGTTGCAGCAGTTCTATCTGGACATGGAAGCTCCTGAAGATAGCACCCTTCCTAAATTAGATATTTATCCTGGAGATTTTTAAAACCTCTTTAATGACTGTGGTTTCAGTAAAAATACTTCCTGAATTAATATTGAGGCAATGTAAGCTCGGAGCTTAACAAATAACTTATATGTTCAAAACAGAGACTTTAAAAAGATCTTTGCTATTAAGAAATGTCAATCCTATTGATTAACACTAATTACCCAGAAAGACCCCCCCCCCCACCGCCATGTGCAGCGTTCAAGGATTTAAACAAAAAATCTGCTTGTTTTTAGTGTAATTGGAATTTTACATTCCACTTACAGATTTAAAAAAAAAAAACTTAAGTCCTGCAATCTCCTCGGCTAGCAGCTAAGTGGTGTATTTTAGAAGAGTAAGTTGGTTCATTAGATTTACAAAGGTCTACTCGATGGTGTAAATAGTGAGGCTTTAAAATCGTCAGGAATTGAACACTGATGACCAACTATGCTTAGTAGACCTGAAAACATAACACTGTTGTACTTTTCATGTTTGAAAAATGATTTTAATAAACTGGATTGAGTCTCAAGTGAAATGGCTGGTAAGTGTCTTCTGGAAAATAATTTTTCTAATGAGTAAGAATGTATGACTTGTTGGAGACTTTGTCATGAGCATAATGAGAACATAAATACTCAGGAAACACACACATATATGTGATGTCTGTGCAGAGTAAACATACTGTATCTCATTCTTTATTTCCCTAAACTTCTAAGGCTCTACTATGTATACCAAAATTGTGATTAAAATGGATTTTAAAAGTGGGTGCACTAATTCACTAACAATGGTAAAACATGAACTCAGGAACATCTTAGAATATCCGAACTCTTATTGTACTCAATGCATACATAAGCAGCAGAGAGGTTTCCAAATTAATAAATGCTATAGGGGCACTATGCATAATCTGTCATATTCTAGCCATATTATTAATGTGTATTAGCTTTTATGAGCACCCTACATAATATAATACACATGGAGAATGACAAATAAGTTTTAAAATCTATGGGACTCCAGGCTTGGTGGTGCATGCCTTTAACCTCGGCAATTAGTCAGGAGGCAAAAGCAAGCAGCTCTTTCCAGGCCAGTCTGGTCTATATAGCAAGTTTTAGACCAGCCAGAGCTGTGTAGTAGACCCTGTCTCAAAATAATAATCACAAAATAAAAATAAGCAAAACCTTCCTGACATTCTTCTCACTGTGACTTCACAAGCTGTTTACCAATATATTTCCCACAATACCACATTAGGGAGATGGGTAAGGGCTAACTAAGCCCATGACCCAGATAAGCCAAAATTTTAAAGCACAAAATATAAGCTATCCAAACTTTATTAATTTTTTTTCTGTTTCGCAAATGGAACAGCAAATGGCTATGAGCCCAATTATTCCTTGGGAGCCTGAACCTTATATAAGTTTTCTCCTGATTAAAAAAGAAAACTCAAGATATGATTGAATGGCTGTACATTCTCCCACAGTAACCTTTGAACAGATAGCAAACCAATTATGCCTGTGGTTCTTATTTTTGCTCCTTTATTCTAATATCCAAGTGTTTTCCTAGAGCTTATTAGCTAAGACTTAATTGTGAAATTAGGATTTCTTAGAGAAAGACCAAGCCAAATGACTAAATAAAAATGAGCCCAGAGTGTATGGGCTGAGGGAAAACATGTGTGGCCTTTTCCCCTGCCAATACGTGTTTTGTAACTCTCCGCAGGGCGATAATGTTTCTAGGAAAATCAACATTAGACACTAGCAGGTTACACACGTTTATGCATTTTACACATGCAAATTCTTTCTTCCAATTCCACAAAGCAATGAAAAGACATCAGAAAGGGCCAGCGATAAACAAATTCTTCAAATGTAGCTTAATAAATGAGTGACTACACATGTGTTCTTTTTTCAAGCGCTTGAATATTTTGGCAATATGGTCACGATTTCACTGAAGCAAATAAAAACAAGCACAAGGAATTTCTTAAATTTTTATTAGTCAATTCCTATCTAGGTGCTAATTGAAGTAGATCTACTCAGCCACACGTGGGTGTGGCTTCACCTCCACTGGCTAAGCAGTGGACAGAATACATGGCAAGGTGTAAATCCTTGCAGATTCTCTGGGTCTTATGACATGGTGTGGCATGGTCCCTGCTAATCATATCCTTCCTAGCACAACTCTTATTGGGAGATTAAGGTCAGGGCCATAGGAAAGAGGTAAATCTCAAAGGGTATCTTAAACAACGCTCTGGAGACGAATCTGCCAGAGTGGGGGGAGCATAAGCCAGTTAGGTAGGGATCTACCACGAAGCAGAGGTGAAAGCATGGCAAGTGAGGAAGAGAGAAAACTGTGGGTTGGTTTTTGTTTTTTAAGTTTAAAAAGATCTGACACAGTCTGAAAATAGAACAACTAGAAAACAGTCACGTGATGGCGTTGTCTAAACTCTTTGGGATACTTGTGTTCAAGTCTGTCTCCCCAAGGCCAAGCTCTTTCCCCTAGACTCTCTCCTTCTGACACCCTTCTCCTTGCTGTTCGTGACAAGTGAAAGGGTCTGCTTTTCCTCTGTGCACACATACACCTTCAGATACAGCGTGGGCTACTGCACACTAGGAAGGAAAAACAGGTTTAGGCTGCCTTTTGCTATCTACAACTTTTCTGATTTCTGAAATGGTATATTTACCATTCTAAGACTCATATTTCATTTTTATGGAAAAACTTATTTCATACAACTTATTCGAGTCCAGCTTTTCCCTTCCCCCACATCCTTCTAGAGACTCCACACCTTTGAGAGGGTTCAACGCCCCTCTCCTCACATCACACTGCTCCTGGGGTTCTGCATTCTCCTACTCTGATGCTTTAAGTGACTAAAAGCCAGGACTGGGTTGGGGAGTGGCTGGGTTGGTAGAATGCTCATCTAGTGTGAACAGGGTCTGGTCTTTATCTCCAAAGCCACTGTAATAACTGGGTTTAATGGCACAAGCCTATAAGCTCACACTCCAGAGGCAGAGGAAAATAGATTACAAAATCGCATCCTCGGCAGTCTAGCAGATCCAAGGGCTAACTCGGGCTACAGATATTGTGAGAAAAGCAAACAAGCAAAAGAATATCGCAAAAAGAATAAAATAGTCCCATGAACGTTTTCTTTTTGTTAGGTTAAAAAAAGGCCCAATATCATAAGCACCTCTAACCTTCATTCCTTAAAACTTAAATTTATCAGTACTATATATTCAACTTTGAGCAATAGACCATGACTTGAAAATTAATCTGATGAGAAATGTAAAAATGAGAATTATCAAACTTTTGCTCCCTCCAAACTAACAATACAAGGACCCTAGAGATGTTTTCCAGGACTATTACAAGGGTAGATCATCTCTGTTTTATCCTATAAACCAGAAGCTATGGAATGATAAATATAATCATACTATAAGTAATGATAATACTCTCATTTTATTTATCTGGGAGTATATAATTTGCATAGCTACAAAAATCCAGCCTGAATGTCACAATCATAATTCACAATTTACCATAAGAAGACATGTTAAAATAGAATACAAGAACAGCTTTCAAAACAGGACACAGAGGTCATGATATTCTCAAAAAAAGGCAACATTATTGTTTTCAAAAATCATGATCTACACCACAGTAAAGAATAAGCTACTGAAGCCGGGCGGTGGTGGCGCCTTTAATCCCAGCACTTGGGAGGCAGAGGCAGGTGGATCTCTGTGAGTTCAAGACCAGCCTGGTCTACAAGAACTAGTTCCAGGACAGGCTCCAAAACCACAGAGAAACCCTGTCTCGAAAAACCAAAAAAAAAAAAAAAAAAAAAAAAAAAAAAAAAAAAAAAAAAGAATAAGCTACTGAAATTAACTAATCCTTAAGTTTTGAGTTTTCTGTAGCAATTCTAAAAAAAATCACATATAGAATAAAGTAATAGGAGCAAAATGCTCTGCTCAACCTGTGTCGATCACACATTGAAGTAACACTGTACTTGCTCATAGACATGTTAAATGTCATTTGCACTTTAAGTACCAAAAGCATGGCCTCGAAAACTTGCAATGAGAACTACTTCTCATCGAGTCTCCTTTACTCCCAAGAGAGGGAACGACCTACAGAGAAAGGTAATAGACTTTGACGATGCCACTCTAGACTTCCTGGGCAAGTCCAGAGAAGAACAGTCACTAACCTGGATTTTCCTGAGCCTGCTCCAAATCTTTTTTATTCTACTCCCCTCTCCCTGACATAATGGGTCATGTGAGGATCAAGAGATCCAAACTAATTCGGTCTCTTAAGGAATTAACCTTACTGTTACTTACTCTTCCCATGAAGGCCTGCCATCCTAACCTTTTTACTCCAAAAGACCATTTCCTGCCATAGAAAGTTTCTCATCTCTACCAAGATGCAGAGAAAGCAGAATTGAGCTTATAAAAATTCACATCATTTCAAGACACAACAGACACAGTAAGGTTTTTGAAATGGCACCCAAAAGTGCCAAGGGTGAAGAAGCATTGTTAGGCTCTCATGAGCTCCTAGACATGATCTTCACAGGTCGGGTTACTGAGCTATAGAAGACACAAGCCAGCAACTGCAGACTTCGGATTTCCTAAGAGAGCTGAGGGAAGTTGTTAGCTGGGAGGTAGTACTTCCTCTGTCTGACTCATTTGTGTGTTAAGCAAATCCTCCCCAACAGCTCTCAAGGAGGCTGGGTCAGAAGCCTGAAGCCTTTACAAAGTAGGACATTCACTGCCTCTCAGGTGTTCCTAATTTCAAAACTAGCAGCCCTAAAAAGTCACTGTGTCTAGCTTGCTATTAGCTTGGTGTAATTGCTTAAAATACACACCGGAACATTAAAACTTCAAGTCTTGCAGATAAATAGAACAGATGCATTTATTCATATGTATGGACACATACATAAGTACTCTTGTTTTTACATGTGTCTGAGTGTGTGTATTTATATATGTATAGTATGTATATAAACATATAACTGTATTGTGTGGTTGATAGGACCAAAGACTTGACTGCCCTTCCTAACCAACTCAAGCAGGTAGGGGTGTGTGTGTGTGTGTGTGTGTGTGTGTGTGTGTGTGTGTAAAGATTAACCCATGGATATATCACACATCTGAGAAACAGCAGGCGGCAGGTGTCTTACCATTTGAGTCGACGATGGTGATGTTGGCCGAAGCGCTGTCGTTCCCTAACTTGCTGATCACTTTGCACATATACTCCCCGGAATCAGCCAGTGACGCTTTGTTAATTCGAAGTTCTGACTTCCTGTGAGATGGAGACCAAAGTAGTGTAAGTGCGTCGCAGCAGTTCATCTTCAGCATTGTAAATAATAAAATATACTTTCCTGGGTTCAGCACTCTCAAATTCCCCCTTCTTACTCTACAGATACAATGTTAAAATATCACTGGTTATCACATCAGTTCAGGCGTATGTTTCAGCCAGACCAAGCATACGGTATCAGAGTAAACTACCTATGATGGAATCTTAATTTTATCACACAGATAGTGAAGTTGGTGCTCTATGGTTGTGCCCTTCATTCCTCTGTTATCACTGCTGACCCTCTTAGTGGGCAAATTTCCTGTCCTCCTTACATCTCAGTGTCACCCTGAGAACATACATAAAAGTAACATTGTATGGACTGACCAGGTCTTATTCAAGAATATGTATGTATAAACATATATGCATACCATAATAATTAACAGGGGAGGAAGAGGCCATGGATTTAAAGGAGAGTGGGGGAGGGGTAATTGAGAGGGTTTAGGGCTTGGAGGGAGGAAAGGAAAGGGAGAGATGTCAAAACTAAATTGTAATCTCAAAAGTTCAAAACAAAGGTTTGGGAAGAGAAGAAAAATATTTAAATGGTTTCTTACAAGCCCAGTAGAAAGAATCATTTAATGGAGTCTAGGATAGATAAAAATACTCCACACATCTCTGTGGAGTAACATCAAGAGTCAAGGTAATTTCTATGGGGTAGATTTATCATTTCCAGAGATAGGAAAGGTGTCCTCCTTGCAGATGGCCATTACTGGGCACAAAGTGCCTCCCAAATGGTTCTTAAGACTGGAATAGCCGGGCGGTGATGGCGCACGCCTTTAATCCCAGCACTCGGGAGGCGGAGGCAGGCGGATCTCTGTGAGTTCGAGGCCAGTCTGGTCTACAAGAGCTAGTTCCAGGACAGGAACCAAAAGCTACAGAGAAACCCTGTCTCGAAAAATCCAAAAAAAAAAAAAAAAAAAAAGACTGGAATAAATATTCCTGCTACAGTAGCCCACTTTTACAACCCTCTCACCATTAAATTGATAGCCACCATTTTTTTAATGTAGATGCCAGTGGGAGGTACCCTTGCACCTCCTTTATTGTTGCGCGTGGCCTGTAATTTAGGCTATCTATGGCCCACACAAGCTCAGAACTGCTAAGACTGGCTCAGTGTTTGCAAAAGGCTCTATGTGGTGGAAATGGGGGAGCTTCTCAGATTAGCCCAGGTTGACCCAAAACTCATTACAGCAAGGATAGCTTGAATTCATGGAAAACCTCCCGACACGGTCTCCCAGATAATGGCATTATAGGTATGAGCCACCACTCTGGGCTTACAAAGACTGATAAGCACCGTTCTGTACTCTAGCTTGGCATCTGGAAGTCACGCCCTATAGAGAGGACAATGGGAGAAAAGAGGGCAGGAAGGGAAGACGGCAATATTGGTGGATGCTTTCATGTTTTGCTATTTTCTCCATATCATGTGGTCTTTTTGCCACATGGTATTGATTTTCAGGTGGAAAGTATGATTTCAAACTTTAGGCCTCTTCTTCTACTCCACTCTAGTAGATGGCATTAATCAAAATCAATCAAAATCCCACACATAAGCCTCATGCTTCTACCCTGGTGCCTCTGACAGGTCATAATTCGCCCCTACTCAGAGTGCCTTGTGTTTCTACCTTAATGGTCTTACTGATCTTCAAAGGCCATCATCAGTGTCAAGCCCTTTGATAAAGTTTTCATGGCCAAATCATGCAACTGGAGCATCTCTCTCCTTATCGAGATCCTTGCCATCACCTTGCCTCTCCTGCAAACCCTTTTTACTACAGTTCTCTCACTACATCTTCTGTCCAGACACAACCAGAGCAAGCAGTCTACAATTTCAAAAAAAGCTACTGGTTTCCTCACAACAGCACACGGCACAGTATTGCCCCGGGACTGTCCTCAGGCAATACTGGATACATGTAGGAATGGATCAAAGAAGTTTTGGGATGTTCCTGCTTATGCTACCACAGGCCCTAATATACCCAATGCAGACAGCAGGAAGCAAGATGCATTGTAAAAGGGGCAGTGACCGTTTTAGGAGGGGCAGACCCAGGGCAACCATGACCAGGTCAGTTTGTTAGTCAGGAAGTTACCTCTACTAGCTGTAACTCCCAACAAAACAACAGTCAAACTTAGCAGAGGTCATGATGGAATGTAACAATAACAAATGAGTTCTCTTCAACAACACTGGAAAACATTAAAGCCCTACCTATCCCTCAATTTCTCAGAAACTTTAATATAACTAACAGACTCTGAATAGCCAGGAGAATTATTAGAAGTAGCTTCTATCTACTTACTTAGCCAACTCTTTTTTTCTTTCACTTAGCACATCTATTCACACTTTTGGAAAATAACGGTCCACAGAAGAAGTTGTCAGAAAGATTTACTAGCAATTGCCTTGTTTATCTAAATAAGAGAACCAGCCAGGGCTATTTAAGGACTAGCCACTCATTAACCACAGAGGCTATTCAAAGAAAACTTTCCCTAAAGTACCTCTAGAAACCAAAATGGACCATGTTCGCAGCAAACATCGTGACAAATAGATATTTGGTATTAATAATACTTAGCAGCTCCTAAATTTATCAAAATACCATATTAGATGTCACGCCAGGCTTTGGGATATTCAAAAAAATATTTTCTAGTGGATTATCATCTTTGTATATACTTGGTCTATCTCTGATGAGTTTGCTTCATGGAGAAGGTTCTTAAGAAAAGAAAGATAAGAATAAACACTGTAAAAGATTTCTTTTCAGCTGAAAACATGGCAAAGTTTTTTGGAATAATTTTGCTGTCTGATCATGATATAACAGATGGGAACAACAAATTATGAGGAAAACTAGAAAATATCCTGATCTTCAATATCAGAGGAAGAACAAATTCTGAATATTAAAAGACAGAGACTTTTAATGTTAAGACCCAAAATTCTTTAGTCAGACAATTAGAACAATATTCTAAGAATATACAGCAACTAAGAAGCCCTGATCTTCCCATTTGTGATTCCAGAAACAATCCTACGCTCGTATATGAAGACCTCTTTCTCGACCCTGCACAATTTAATATTTTAACTATTGAACTGGATTGAACTATATGAAACAGGGTAATTCAATTTCCAGTTGGCATAATCTTTAAAGGATAGTTCTAAAATCTAAATTCTCCTAATAGGCCTGGCCCATGCTTCCTGGAATACAAACCCAAGTAATATAATCAAATGCCATGATGGACAAAAGGGATTGGGGGGCACTATTCTCTGTTCAAAAAATATTTCACCAAATAATGGAAAAAAGATTTCTTTCTGCAAGTGTCTCTCGGCAGTTATGTACAAACCTCTAAGGTGCATTTCGAAGACAGGCATTACACGTGGTCATCCTATCACTACTGTAGAGACCACCCCTGGGAATCCAGGACAGAGCATCAGTGGTTCAAGGCCAAGACTTAGCTTAATTGAGACGTGCGGAACAGATACAACCAGATTCAGAAGCCAGAGTGGAAATACTCAAGGGTAAGAGATGCATCAATTCCAATGCACAAAGAAAAGAGGGCTTTCAAGTAGCCTATCTTTCAACACCTGCCCTTTAAAGAAGCTTTTAAAAAAAAACTGAGAAAAAGAAAGAAAAATGCACTTACTCTTGGGTGAAATGAATGTTAAAGCAGAATAAAAAATCAAATTGGCTAGGAGTCTCAGTACATTTGGAACGGGCTGGGTCACAGCTGGAACTCTGGAAGTATGTTTTTGACTGACAGCTGATTAATAAAAACCAACAGTAACCAGAGGGCTTCAGAAGAAGGTGAATTACAATTGGAGAGAGTCTAGAAATCCTAATAAGAGAAAGAATTCTATTAAAAGAACAGTCCCGCAAGTGAAGACGGATGAAGTATAATGACTTTAAACACATCACTGCACTGCTACCTGGAAGAAGAAGTGACTTGAGAGTGGCCAAGTGTCCTAAGAAAATTGAGCCCCAGAGAACAAGAAGAGGGAAAGTACAAGGTGGTCTTACATGGGAGAATCTTGGGAACTCAGAGACAGATAAGAAATCTATGACTTTTTTTTCATCGCTGAGACCCAAGACTGGGGAGCCATTTGCCAAGCCCACTCTTACGAAGTCTACATGCATGCAGCACACATGTGTGTGGATGTGTGAGTATGCCTGTATGTGCATGGATGCATGTCTTCAATTCTGCTTCAGATGTCAACCTGCTTTCCGTGAGAAGGATGTGGAAGAATAAGAGGAACTTCTTAGAAAGCGCAACCAGACAGCATACTGAACGCCCACATAAGCCACACGGAATGACCACTCGTTATACAGGGAAACTAGGAATCCTTACGTACCGTTCCCATGGCCTGTCAAAGTGCGTCAGCAGCTAAGAAAAGGAGTATACATGAACTTTCCTGATACAGAGCTATTCATGAGTGGCCACTGAGAACAGCAGAACACCCTAAATTCATTTATCATTAATCTCTCCGTGCCTGGAAGGAGCTCTCCCCACCACCCATGTGTGTGGAAGTCAACCTGTGGAGTTGGCTCTCTCCATCTTCCTTTATATGGGTTCTTGGGGTTGACCACAGGTCACCAGGCTTGGTGGCAAGCACCATTACCATGCTGAGCCATCTCACCAGCCCCAGAGCAGGCATCAGGAAAATCTTCAAACGGGTTTTGAACAAGCAAAAGCACTTCCTGATCAAATTAAAATATGAGCTGCAATGAAAAGCTGAAGCAACACTAGGGTTATATAAATATGTATGAAAATGACAAGAACTAGAAGTTTGTCTTTCACAAGGCTAATCCAGAACAGACACATGAGTGAGGCCAATCTGACAGGCCTGAAGCCTTCAGCTCGTTTTCTTGATCCAGATCATCCACCAGGCACATACAGCAAGAATAGAGGGATAAACATATATACAATACGGAGTGGTTCCCATTTCTTTTAATTGGTCCCACACGCAGCTTACCAAATAAAACAAACAAAGGCTTACATGTAGATTCAAACCCATAGGAAGAATATGCAGGAAAAGAGAAGGTGGGGTCCAAGAGGAAGATGAGTTTACACAAAGACAGAAACTCCCTATTGGTATGAAATCTTCTCATAACACGAAGGGATTAAAAGGGAAATTTGGCTGCCACCTACAATCTAGATAACTAACAGCTGAAAGAGTCAGCATTTGATTTGAACAGACTCCCAGGGAAATCCTACACCTCAAAGTAAAATTCACTCCTGCTTAGTTGTTCACAGCCAAAGATTAAATTTAAGTCACATGACCAACCAATCAACTCAACATATTCCTAGTGTCAGGATCTAGGTAACAAAAAGCATTATGAGTATTTGAACAAGAGAAGTATCAATAGGTTTTAGTGATAGCCTGAGCTGATAATACCAGCCACTGTATTCTGACTTCATATAATAAAAATCACAAGTACTTGTGAAATTAACATGAATGTTGGAGTCAGGCCTATTAAAAGTCTAGGTTTATTTAATAACCTTACACCGTTTCCATTACATTACATTATAGAAAGAAACTTACAGAAGTTCATTCTCAAGAGGGTGATTGTTTTTAAAACATTGTAATAATTAATAATAATATCCATTCCATTTGTTTATAGGACAAATAGAATAATAGAACATTTTGCTAAGGTTAAATTTAGATCTTGTTGGCTACTCTAAAATCTAGCAATGCTAATTTTGAAGCGCTTTAGAAATGATAAATCTTCTGATTGTGAAAATCGATGAGCCGACCTCCTGAGCAGCCACCGACTCTACAGAAATCATGTCTTATTTTTAACTCAAATACATAAACTCTTTTTGTGCCAAGAGTAATTCACAATCACATAGCTCAAATAAATTTCTCCCCATTTACTTCTTTGCAGCGAGGCTGGAATTAAAGTGAATAATTTCTGAACGCTGGCCTTTCTGATGTGGGTGGGAACTGCATTAGTATGTAGACCATGCTCAGAGCTGTCTGGACCTATGCAGTCAATATGAAAATGCCTTCCTGAATGCTAATGGAGCTTTATATGTTATCCCAGTCAGGCAACCGAATAAGCCTTTAAGAGCCCATGTATCCTCTCCAGAAACACACTTGTATTAGTTTCTCACATTTTTGTTCTTTCCCCACCTTATTTACCCAACTTTACTTGCTTCTTTACATATATAAGATGGAGGACATGTGTTCTCCAAAAAGTTTCTGCTCCCCTTCAGCCCACATCTGTCTGCCTATCCAAGTACAGGCTCCAACAATGTATTTCAGCACACAGTCTGGAACACCCATGTTGTATTAGGACTAAATTAGATTGTCGCTATACAACCATAGGACTGCCTATGCACAGAAGTGGGCCTTCTATCTCTTTGATCTGGCTATATCCCTGGCATAAAGCCGCTCACAAACTCCCAAGTTTTGCTAACATTGGGACAGTTTACAGCTACGCGTGAGAAGTTACCTGGCATGTACGGCATATATATATATATATATATACACACACACACACACACACACACACACACAACTTAATATGCCTACTCGATGAAATCAGAACAAACAGCAAAACCTGTTCAATCCAGTATCTACAATTATTTTTTTGTCTTAACCTCCATTCAGAATCATGCTTATCTTTGCAAATTTTCCACTGTTTCTTCTCCTTCCTGCATGGTTCCTACCTTCAATGAGAGAATGGCATAAGAAATCAAAAATAAATAAATAAATAAATAAATAAATAAATAAATCTGTGTTTGAGTGTTTGGCAAGTTCCAGGACCCTAGGTAAAGTGTTATATAACACATTTGTCCCTCAATTTTTCTTTCCCTTTTCTTAAGAATTTGCTTCTAGACAGGACCATGCTATGTGGCTCCACTTGCCTCAAACATGTAGTGATCATCCTGCCTCAGCCTCCCACGTCTGGGATGACAGGTGCACATCAGGCTTGACTCTAAGTTTTCGAATCTACAAAATTAGTCATCACACACCAACCGCTGAACTGCCTTTGCCATACGTGGGAATGCTGTTGCTGTTTGTAAAGAAACGCTATGTTTATGGGGTGCCTGGGCTCTTTACATTGCTATGTTTTGTGTCTCTGTAATAACACCTGCTGTAGGCTGTGATACCCAGCCCCTTTTCTCACACTTTATCTTTCCAAACCAACAGATCTTTCTGGCATGATCAATATCAAGAATAAGTGGTGTAATTAATAAAGCCATAGAACTAGGGGGAAATCCCTAATTATTGTCATCAGAGTGATTAGACAGTTTGATAACATTCAATTACATTTGCAGCAGAATCATCCTTTCTCCCTTGCCCATGCGTGTGTGACAACGTTTTGGTAGACAGCTTATGAAATCAAAGGGAAGAAGGGGTGATGTCCTTCTGCTGTTGCTTTTGTTATAAAACCCTCGTTTCAGAGGAGTCTTCTGAGATGTTGGGGCATAAAGCCTCTCAGAGTTTAGAACCACATTAAAGATGTCAGAACAATTAATGAATTGCTCAGAAGAAAAAGAAAACATATAACTTGTTGTTCTCTTCCCTGATTTCCTCAAAATGTATTTTAATCATTGTGAAAGCAATTATTTCTCTCTCTCTCTCTCTCTCTCTCTCTCTCTCTCTCTCTCTCTCTCTCGTATTGGTGATTTGCCTGCATGTATGTCTGTGTGAGGGTATTGGGTCCCCTAGAACTGAAGTTACAGACAGTTGTAGGCTACTATGGGTGCTGGGAATTGAACCCAGGTCCTCTAGAAGAACAGTCAGTGCTCTTAACCACTAAGCCATCTCTCCAGTCCAGTAAAAGCAATTGTTAAAGAAGAAAATACACTGCCATGAAAATTGCTTGGATACTAGAAGCTGCACTAACTTAGAAGAGACATCTAACGTAGCCACTGAGGTATCACATGTTTCTTATGGGGTGCTTCTAGCATTGCCATGCTCAAGAAGGTAGAAAACATAAGGTCCTTGGCCTAAAGATTACTGCACTGTCAAATCTGCTATAGTGTTGATGAACTTCAATAGTATTGTTAACTAAAAATTCTCGTTATTATATAAAACATAATTATATGTGTTAACCCTCACTGTTTGAAAATAATATAAACTCACTGCATTATATCCCATAAATGAAGGCAATTGTTAATCTTTATAATGACATTGGGATTTTGACTGCACTAGACATTGGCGCTAAAATATCACTTGTCTTATTATAAGGAGACTGAATCTCAGGTTTCATGACTATTACATTAGCTACCACTAATTCCATCTTCCTCCTTCACTCCCAGCCAGCCCTATCTGACTTCCTACTGCTTCCCCTTCAGCTCCCCACTTCTTCGTTCAAAAGTTGTAAGCATCATAAATTCCCAAGTTCCTTTCTATTTGATATCACAATCTCTGGCGAAAATTCAATCAAAAGTCTTCCTATTCATCATATATCACAATTTATAACAAATTTAATACTAGGATCTATATAATTTTCTATCCTATATTATCCCGTTGCTGTTGGCACAGATTCTACTACTAAATGCACTTGACTTACCCTGGCTTTTTCTGAATCTTGATGTTTTGCGGCTTATTTTTTCGGTTCAGCTCATTCCCATTCTTAAACCATTTGAATTTGAGTGCAGAGTATTCCGAGCTGGTTTCACACCGAAGCACTAGCTTGGAACCTGCAGCCGACTCCTGGCTTTTCATCTCTTTCAATCGAGGAGGCAAGGCTATAAAGAGAAAGGAAGAAGAAAAACCATGATCATTTGGCCTTTCAAAAGGAAAATTACTAATGTTGAATGAGCTTGATGAAGTCCCATTACCAAAAGTTTTACTAACCAAAGCAAATAATAATAATAATAATAAATGAGTAGACCAAAATGGGTCCCAACTAGGAAGAAAACAAAATGCCCAAATAAAATAAACCCAGCATAGGGGGTGGGGGTAGGGGAGGAGCCTGGATGATAAACTCATCCCTAAAACATATTCTTAGTAACTAGTTCGTGGTTTAACAAAATCAGTGCTGAGATGGGGATGGGGCTAGGCTTTGTCTTTGAGCTGATGGCCCCACATCACACATCTGCTCAACCCTGTAGGAAGGCACCGTCCTGCATGCCCATGTGTTAGTAGGAAACTGATTTCAGAGTAAACGCTGTGAAGTCTACTTTTCCTTTCCTCTTGGTTGTGACATTTGTAGAAAGTAGAATCACGTTCATCTCATTAAGCATCCCAGGTGCCCCCTTCCTGTAGGACACAAGTCCTTCAGCCCCATCACTCCTGACCCAGCCTGCTGTTGCTATCCCAGAGACAGGGAGTGACTGACCACATCAGATGTTCCCCGTTGTCCTGTCCTAGATACAACATGAACTTAGCATTTCTGAATCTTCAGGAGAGAAGCTGTGAAGAACCAAATTGTGCTACTTTACAATTTCCTGCAAAGGATCCATATCATTGTGACTTATGCATAACTGCCTATGGGCAGTTTTGATAGAATATGAATGGATAAAATCGTACAAGGATGAGTAAGAAGTAAAGCAACATAAATATGAACCCATACTACCAAGAAGCTGAGGGATGGGTATAGGTGGCGCCTTGTCTTAAGTGTCTACAAAGTGCATTTGATTTTTCTATTAAAATATTTCCAATTAAAGAACAAACAGATGGCTTTCGTCTACACATACAAACTTACTTAACGATCAACCGTTAGAGAACCCGAGACCTCAACAGCTCGCGGTTTCCACTGAGTCTGGCAAAGGCCAGCGACAAAGTCTACTTTTCTGCTCAGTTCAGGAATTAGCAGGAAATCCCAGAAAACAAACCCAAGCAAACGAGGCTCTGCCTCACAGAAAGGGGATACCTTGCCCACTCATGTTATTTGTTTTTCTATGGCTCTGCCCTTAGGAGGCAAACCCTGAAGCTGTCAACAGTGAGCATGGGAATTAAAGCCAAAGCCTTGGAGGGCTGCAGTCTCATAGAGCCCCCGTATGCACACCTCCTCACTTACTTGGGGGCTGGTGATGCAGCAACACCCTACTGAGACAGACATGGGAGCAAGTTGGAAGACTCGGCTGTTCCCGGCTCTCAGTACTTGGCGATTATGTCTGTCTTATTTCTTGTTCTCCCCACCACCATAGCCGACTGACGGCTCTAAAGTAAAACTTGCTTTATGAACAAATTCCACAGGACTTTTACTTTTGAGATATGGATCGCGGTCCTGCTTTGGAAGTTTTAAGAACACTAAATTCTAATATCCCTGACAAGTGCCTAATATTTATCTCCATCAGCTCCTTAAGATCATTTATAACTTTCCGACTGCGCTGAAAGGCTCAGAAGAAACACACGGGAGAGAGCCAAATGGCATCAAAGAAACTGGCTTGTATATATTAAGTAAAATAAATTGCTGCACGTCTGCACAAACTAAGGGAATGAGTGTGTGCTTTACAACTGGATTTTAAATTGAAGTTGAAATGCCACCAAAATTCTCAAGGTCTGGTTCCCTGCTTTAATAAACAAAATTTCCTATATAGTTAGATATACTTAAAACTCAGCAAGTCTGTGTTCCCTCTTCCACCACTCCAAGCTTTGGCTTATAGAATCCAAGCACAAGTCTGAACACAAACTATAAGACTTTTGTCTCTCATTTGCATAAACATCTTCTCATTGAATAAGTGTCTAGTGCTCTTCATCCATTCGCTTTATCCTTTTCTCTCACATCTCTTTCTCTGCCCGCTTCTCTCTTGGTTTATTTATTTCCTTGTTCTTCAGAGTCTTGATATCAAACACATAAAAACAGATCAGTTCAATAAGGGCTACTCTATAAAATTGTTCTAAGGCTTTAAAAAAAAAAGTCAATGTCATGAATGACCAGAGAAGACTAGGAAGCCAATTAAAAAGAAATTAAACATGACTAATCAGAGTGCAGCTACTGCATGAAACCCACTTGGGGGTGGAGTTGGGGGATAGTTACGTGGGACATTATTGGGACTAGTGAGGGGAATCACAGAAAAAATAATGTACAAGAGTTGAGCTCCGTTCCTCTTGTGGAATTGCTGCACTCAAGTCGAGCAAAAGAATCTTAGAAAGTATTTGTGGACATCTTAAAGGGAATGAGTCAGATATACATGCAAACATACACACTGTATACAAAACAGCATACGCAGAGGAAGGAGGAAAAGAATCTGAGGGGTTTTTTTTGCCTTTGTACCTTTCTCATCTGGTCCTTTCTGACAATAAATGAACAACTCTTGTTTTCAGCAAGCAGGAGCTTCTTTTGCCCTGCAGTACTGGGGGTGAACCCAGGCCACATAGGTACTAGGAAACCATGCTACCACCAAACCTCATCCCAGCATTTAAATACCTTAAGTACCTTTCATCTTTCCCTTTTGAGGATTGGTCCTTTAATGTAGCCCAAGCTGACATGGGATTCATCCTCCTCTTCCCACTAGGATTACAAGAATACTTATCTTCCATTCCTTAATTACTCCCCATTTAGTGACCTGGGTAAGTTTGCAATTGTAGAGATAAATTTTGCAAATAATAATAATCATAATAATAGTAATATAAAAACAAACAAAAAACATCACTGCTGCCATTTAATTCTGAAAATTCTTCCACTGAAATTGTTATGTGGGTCAATGTCATAAACTTGACTTTGGAGCTGATCCCATGGGGTTCTTTGGTAAAAAGAACCACTATCTGTATCTTTCTTGTCCTTACCAAATGGCCCATAGGGTGCGCATACCTTCCCTTAAGAGAAGATACAGAATGCACAGGAGACAAAGGGCTTCGAATATAAGGTCTTAAATATGTCTGTTCCCCCAGCTGATCTGGATGTATAAACATGTATATGTGTGAACACCACTTACACTTTGAGTTTCTCTGTGTGAGGCAGTACCAAACCCCACAGAAGATCAGACTTCCTATCAGCTTGACCTAGTCCTTTGTGACATGGATGACCTTTAAGACATAAGGTCGTCCACTTTGTCAGGAGTCTCTCTTCTTAAGGAACAGAATAAAAAGCATCCACAGTGTAAATGGCGAAGCAAAATCCCAGATTCCCGGTAGTCATGCACCTGCCTCCCTGACTCAAAGGTACTTGAGTAGCCAACAATATCCCTCTTCACACCCGGAGGATCCCAAATTCACGTACATAGAGGACATCCAGGCAATATAAATCCTTCCAAATCAATAGCCTTGAATGTTCCTTAGATTTTTTTTTCACAAAAATACAAAGCAATATTTGATCTTGGATGGTTTGTGTGATTTCTCATTTATCCATAGAGACCATTTTCAGTGGAGAAATTTTGCCAGAAATTATTAAAATAGTTCATTGTAAATGGATTATATTTAAATGTACCTCTCAGACATGTGGTTAATTCAAATAATATAATCCTGTTTATTTCATTTTTTTAAAAAATTTAAACAAGTTGGGTGGTGGTGGCACACATCCTTAATCCTTTTATTGGAGGCAGAGGTAGGAGGATCTCTGTGAGTTTGAAGTCAGCCTGGTCTACAAGAGCTAGTTCTAGGACAGCTAGGGTTGTTACACAGAGAAGTCATGTCTTAAAAACCAAGGGAAAAAAATCTAAACAAGGGTTGAAGTGATAGTGTAGTAGTTAACAGCAATTGCTGCTCTTGCAGAGGACTCTGATTTGGTTTCCAGTAGGTGGCTTACAACTATCTGTAGTAACTCCAGTTCCTGAGGATCTGATGCTCTCTGTTGACATCTGAGAGCAGTGTACACATATGGTGTGCACACACATGGTATGCGTACATATATGCAGGTGAAACATTCAACCACATAAAATAAACCTAAAAAATAATTTTAAACTCTAAATTACTTCAAAACCACTTTTTAAGTACACAGATATAAACTACAAGATCACGGGTGGTTGCTAAACTTGGAATCAATATTTTAAACTAATATTTGAATTTTGAAACTGAAATAAAAACCTTTCCTTGCAATTCTTATCCTAAGAGCAAATGGCCTGTTAATTTAAAGGTGACTGAAGGCAAACTCAATGTCAAGTTTTTTGTTTTGTTTTGCTTTTGTTTTTAACTTGGGTATAAAGAGCTTCTTAGGTGTGATGTATTTAGGTCTGGTCTACCACACTCATGATTTTGCTTTGTAAGAGCTCTAAGGAGGCAATGGTTCTACACTCTGAAATGATCTAATGACAGAATAGGTTTTAAGCAGACGCTTCCAAAATTCCTTCTTCCTAAACTTGATTAACAGTACATGAACATGTCCACACCCTTAGAAATGAATCGACAGAGATGCATTTGGTCAAACAAAATGCAAGTTTGAAAAGATTACAAACTCTAACTCAATGTAAGCAGGTACGCTAAGCATATTAAGTCCCTTTCTGGTTTTCTATTTTCTATAATTGATATGTCACACAGTGGGAGGAAAATGGCAGCAGTCATCCAAAATATTTAGTTTCTCTCTTGACCAAATGAAAACATAAGAGAATATGTTCATTCATTCCAACAATTTAATTGGTAATTAAATATTCATGGTTAGAGACAAAAACGAATTAGCAAGAAGGAAAAAGAACCACTGGACCAATGCAGTTCTCAATCTTCCTTATGCTGTGACACTTTAATACAGTTGCTCATCTTGTCGAGACCCCCAACCATAAAATTATTTGCATTGCTACTTCATAACTGTAGTTTTGCTACCATTATGAATAATAATGAAAACATCTGCGCTTTCTGATGGTCTTAAGTG